CCTTCCTCAACATGTTGTATGAAGGTGTGAACCTCCTGGATGGTGGTTGAGTTGCTCCCCTTTGATGGTCTTTGGGGGCAGCTGAATCTGGGGTCTGCCTTCTTACTGGGGGTTAGTAGGGTTCTTCCACAGGACATGGTTTCTCCAGTGGGTGTCCACACTTATTGTAATTGCCCTTTAATCAGGTAATTTAATACTTATCTATCTTCAGGGTTAAACTATTTAATGAGTCTATTTCTTAACAGTCATCACAGTGGGCAATTTCAGCCTTTTAGTTCTCACTCAACTCTTGTAATTCTGCTGTGATTCACACCATATTTTAATAAAATCAACTCACCAAAATTGGACAACTTGACAATAAATCATCATGGAGGAAAGGCAAACTAAAAGAGTGCAAAGGAGAACAGAGTTGCTAAGTTTTATCCTTTCTCCCTCATACTGATTCCTTTTCTTCACTTCTTTTTTTCACTATGCCGTGATGCCAAAGTGACAATGGGACCTACTTTGCATTTTCCTGGCAGTTTTGGAGGTAAACAAATAAGTAATATAACTGTTATTATAGGTATTATTTTATAAACTCTTGTTTTCCTTGGGTAAATCTTAATCCTTGTTTCTTTGCTTTGTCCTTTGGTGAACTGAAGTTCCTTGTAATGGGTGTTGCAATTTCGTTTTTTTTAAGGCCTTGTGACCAATTAATATAGTTCATTATTCCTGCTCTGGTAACAGATACATAGTCTGGCTAGGACCTGCCAGGCCTCAGGCTAATATAATGCTTGACCTGCTTAACTCATGATATTAGTTCATAAATAGCTCTCCTTGGTTTAGCTCTTATTGTTTCTGTGGTCAAGAGCTCTCATTTCTGATTAACCAGTTTCTCCTTTTTCTCCTTGATGTCATTGTATTTCTCTGCCATGGTCCAAAACAGATGTTGTTTACCCTGAAGAATCATATTTTCTAATGGCATGGCTGTTATTAACAGTAATGACAATATGACAAGGATCAGTCACGCATTCCCTAGATTTTATTTAACTTTACAAGGAAGAAGAACAAAGTAGACATCCAAATTTTTAATTGCTCTTTGGAGTAAACTAGTAAACATACTGCTATTTTAAGGATGATCATCATGAAAAGGATTTATGCATACATTTTGAAAGTAATTACCAACAGAAACGATTACATTGTATATGACAGTTAAAATAAATGTATTTTCTTGAGAACTGAGAGTGAGTCATWGACAAGCAGCATCCAGTAGGAGACAGCAATCCTATCTGCTGGTCCAAATACACTTCTGTGCTCCATCAGCAGAGCCAGGAGTGCAGCTAATAGAGAAACAAACTAAAGATAGGCRGCACTATTGGAAATGTGTTCCCAAGCATGGCATCTGGATGTTGCAGCTGCCAAAGATACAATACTCATCATAAATGTTATTAAGGGAAGACAGCAATCAAAACAATAGAAGTCATAGCAAGGGCAGAGCCTGATAGTGATTCAGCCTTCTGAAATGAAATGCTTATGGTAAGGGAGGTGAGGCTCTACTTCACTCTCATCCTCAGGCTATGCACTGAGGAGGTATAGCTAATAATGTCTTTGATAAAAATGATAATTCTTTATAAATTATCTTTATAAATTCTTTACAAAAGRAAATACAAATACAAGAAAAATACCTAGGGGTAATGCACTATGTCATWGTGCTTTCAGTGTATCATAGAAAGAATTAAGAACTTATAGACAGTACAGATACATTGCTCAAAAGTCTGTCCGGACCAAAGACTGTACTGGACTTACATCAGTGAACTGTGTAATAAATCATAAGATATAGGTATGTGGTATCGCAGTATGTAGGCGATATCAGTTAGGCAATTCATAATCTGTAAGTTCTATTCCATTTTTATTTAAAAAAGAATACTTTCCAAGTCAAAATAAATGTCACAGTGTAACCAAGGGGTGAGCTTTTAGAAAAGGTATCGTATCGCTTATTATTTATAGACAGAGACATTAATATTAAGATTACTGAGAAACAGAATTGCTAGACTATTCAACCCAAGACCAGTTTAAATATGCATTAAAAAAAAAAGAAAAAAAAAGCAAGTGGTAATAACAAACTTAAAAAGATATATAGCTTTATTTGACAATAATCACATCCATACTGTTCATATAGGTGATGGTAAGTCCCTGCACACAGCTGCAAATTCCAACACATATTTACCTAAATAATTGCTTAAAAAAGATGCTCTCTCCTGAATTTGATAACACCAATTTTAGAGAAGAAAATTTGTTTTGTGCAGAGCTTCCTTTTAGCAGCACTTGCTAAAGAAGAAAGATATTTTTTCTTCATCAACAGATGCAGTTTCTACTAAACTGACTTTCTGTGTATCTCTGGGCCTTCTAACTTATTTTTTAGAAGTTTTTAAATGTTTCATAAGACAACAGCAGTTGGTCTGTAATTTTGAAAAGTTCTATGCACTGACCAAGGTAAAGATGAAATAACCACATAACATTTTAATCCTTTTTTACCTGCATTGTAGGTATGAAAAAAAATGAACAAGCAAATATTTGAATACCCGCAATAGTATGGACATCTACTTATGCATTTCAGATATGTGTGCTATGGCACAGTGAGTGTCCTCCAAAAATTCCTCCCATGGAATTTATCCAAAGATTCTTTCCTATCATTACTTGGAGTTTGTGAGCCACATGGAACTCCTTTGGTGTCACAAYTCGATGTCTTCAAATGTGAACACTTGAAAAGTAATCTATGATGCACGGGAAGGAAAAGAAAGAATATGTTTATTTTCCCACTTTTCTATTTCTTATGTGACCTAATACTTATCAAGACTGCTAAAGCTATATTGATTGCATTTAATTAGAGGTAATTGTAATCTGGTAAGAAATTGCTTTTTCTGAGGTGGATGCTTCCTTAATATTATTTGTTCAAAAGTTAATTTGAGCTTATATTATGACCTAAATTCCTTGAAGATTTTGTGTGACCAATTACTGGCCTGTATTCTCAAAGATGGTAGCATTAAGAGCAGTTCTTCACAGACATTTCAGACTGTAGGAGCTATCTTTATTTTATAAAGGGAGATGATACCATCTGACCACAAGAAATATATTTATAAAAAGCATGCCTGTAACACTGTGTTACTGATGACACATTTATCCAAATTATTCTCAAAATACAATCAAAGAGGGTGATTCTTCACTACACTTACAATTAGAAATTTCAATTAATAGTTCAAAGAGAGTAGTGAACAAAATGTCCAAATATACTTTTTCAAAAAAAAAATGATACATTAAAGTTAATTGCTGCCATGTGCATAGATCTTCCGTGGACAGACTGAGAGATCAATGGAGACTCTTGAAAACTTTCTACTGTGCTTTAACGATAACACTGTGGCTCTCATTGTGGATGTTACATATGTCAGTCTAAAAGGAATTTTAAACTATCTCAATTTTAGCAGATATTATTTCTTGAGTGTTTAAAATATTTTTGAATTGAATAAAAACAGAGCTGCTGTGCTAGTTCAGTATGCCTGTGTGCAGTGGCAACATGCATACAAATAGGTCCAATGGCCTTATCCTAAATCTAGCCTGTGAATACTAACTTTGCATTTTGAAACAGATCACACTTATTAAATTATGTAAGGGCAATATTGGACAATATTCCATCAAAAGAAACGAGAATAATACTCTTCTATATATGGTGCTTGTCCCCAAGTACATCAATTCCACAGTCCTTATTCTGCAGGTGACTCACTGGCTGAGGTGACTCACTCAATTACACCAAAGAGTAGCTTGAGTTCCAGACCAATGCTTTGCTCGCCAAGTAACTGAACAGAGGTACAACTATTCTGATGTATTTTATTCTCCTTAAAAGCATCTCCTAAGCACTTATTACAGAATCACGATCAGACTTCACATTCACAGTAAGAATATATATGTTTATATATAGTTCTGTGTGTCTACATTCATCAATTGTGCTTATCAGAGTCTTACAGTATCTATAAATATCTATATATTTTTGTCCTTTTGAATGGACATAAGAGGGAAATGAACCATGCCTCTGAAACTAGGTATTTGTCTTTGTGAAACAAGAGTTTGGAGTTTATTCACGTGTGTGGTGAACTCAGAGGTCCCTTCACTTTTAATAATAAAGGAAGAAATGCATGAAAAAAATGTGTTAATGCAATCTGCCAATTAAAAATTCTCTAAAAATGGCTATTGGAGATAAAAAAGTTAGATGCACTGAATACAGATTTAATTCCTTTTAATAGACTACATTACTTATGTTTTGAATGAAATTTGCTTTTCAGTTGCATTAAAAGCTACCTTTATACTGTGATTCTATAATAAAAGAAAAACATGGGCATACACAGGAGGTACATATCCAATCCATAATTTGGGAGCTAAATTCGGGCATGTATTACTCAGTCTGACCCATATCTTTGTGTATTTCCATTTCTGCTAGTTCCCTCTTCCCAGTAAAACAGATAGCTGTTTTAGGCAACAAAATGTCCTGAAATTATGGTCACAGAATCACAGAATGGTTGAGGTTGGAAAATCTGGAGATCATCTGGTCCAACTTCATTGCTCAAGCAACAGCAGACTGCCCAAGAGCATGTCCATTATGGTTATGAGTATCTCCAAGGATGGGGATACCACAACTTCTCTTGGCAACTTGTTCCAGTGTTCAAGCACTATTCAGTAAAGAAGCCATAGAGCCCCTTAAAGCTTCACTTCATGTAAAGCAATGAAACTCTTTAGATGAAAATGAGATAGCTTTAATAAGCCAAGCACATCGTGATTTTTTTTTTTTCATATTAGTGCCCCATGCATTCGCAACATTTTTTGTAATGGCTGTATAGCATGAATCCCTGAGAGTATGCTTATTAAAGTTGCTCATTTCTGCTATTTCTTTGTGCAGAGTGTGTATCCCAGAGTGCACATGCCCATACAGAGGACACGAACATGGCTGGGCAGACTGCCACCAACGGAGCAGTGCCTGTGACAACGTTCACATAAATACAGGTACATATAGCCCAGGCCTGTTGTCCCTCTCCCATTGATGAGGATGGAAGTTCACTGGTGAAACACATTCCCTCACTCCGTAGATTCAGAAACACACCCACAATCACACATCTCTTGAATATCGCCATGGGCTCTCAGCCCATCTTATATCCATGCCAGAACATTTGGCTACCTTACCCATTAGATGGGATTCTTCTTACTCATGGGTGTGTCCAGCTCAGTTTTGCTATGCATGCACTTACACATTTTTCTCACAAACACCCCCGCAATCACAGATCCTTTGGATACTAGCATGGGCTGTCAGCCAGCCTCATATCCATGCCCGGACCCCAGACTCCTTTATCGACTTCTAGCTCAGGTTTTGAGGCTTTCTGTATATAAGTTTTCTTCCTACTCCCCCATCTAGTCCATGTTGATGGCTTGCTAGTGAATAACACATATAGACTCTAGGAAATCCGGTTAAATTATCTACAATATAAACAAACAGAAGAAAATAAAATCACACTGAAGTCCTTCCAATCACTGGCCCTTCAGCCTTGCTCACGTACAGATCCATGCTGGTCTTGCACCCCCATCCCTCCAGCTGCTGGCACTCCAGGCAAATGACCCTGTGGCCCATAGTCCGGGTCCAGATGCTGGCAGTCAAAACTSGCTTCCTCTGGTTTCTGGAACCACAGACATATGGGAAACTGTGACTCATGGTTCAATGCCAGTGGCTGGCACTTGATTCCACTCACTCTGGTGTCTACTGTTGCTGGCATTCAGACCTTGTACTCACACATGAGATGATTGAGAGCAAGTTATACAGAAAAAGGGTTAAAAAAGGATAGATTGTGGTGATCAGTGCAGGGCTCAGTGAGACAAGTGCACTGCCCCACAGTCCACTTAAATGTGGCTGGCTGTTTGATTTTCCCCTTCTCTGTATTGTCCCATGTTTGTGTCTCCCCTAATCACCTTTAATGTCCCCTTTTGTCAATTTTGGCCTTAAGATCCTAAGCATCCCCTATCATCTTGCAATGCTATGCAGAGTTCCATAGTGCCTATGTCCTCCTTCAAATCCCACAGTGTATTTGTTTTGTCTTGTTTCCTCCTTCTTGTCAGTTACACAGTTGAGGCTGATCCTCTTTAAGGCTGTGCATGCATAATTTCTTTAATGGTCTATCAGTGAGTGACTGAAGAGTTCTGGTCTTTACTATTTCCTCTGTTATCACCTACTGGTCAGGTTTGTTTATTGGCCTGTTTAACTTAGCCCTTTCCTTGTTATTTGTTATTTGTTATTTGTTATTTGTTATTTGTTATTTCTTATTTCTTATTTCTTATTTCTTATTTCTTATTTCTTTTACACTGAGTAGCCCTCAACCAGATACTTTCACATTCCACATACCCTTCCAAGAGGAAATATCCTGTTCATGCTCACTCCTAGAAAACAAATCTAGCTGGTAAAGTGCATGTCTTCCTGCCTGGAGTGTTTGCAGTTGCAGATGTAGATAGGATCTGGGTGTTCAGCAGAGATCTGGMAAAAAGATTAGATCCAGTTAAGGTCACCCTGTCCTCTGAGGGGAGTCCAGCATGGAGTTCCCTCTCTGAAGCAGTTCTCAAGTGACAGGCCACCACAAACACAGTAAAGATTCTTAAAGTCACATTCAGTAGAAAATATCAGAGAGCTGGAATTCTATTTCAAGCAAAGCTGTAAAATATGCAGTTCTAAATTCATCCAGAAACTGGCACATCTGGACAGCTAGCATTCTACACTTTTATGTTCTCCCTTCCAGCTTTCTAAGGTTTCTTTAGCTTTGTCCAGGCTTCACTGCATTGTTTAGTGATAGCGATTGAGTTCTTGGCTCCTGCAAGATGATGACGTGCCTGGAAAATTTCATCTAGTGTGGATGGTCCACTCTTGTAATAAAATGTAATTTTGTTTTCTGGGCTAATTTACAGTTGGAGAAACAGATCTGCTTGGGTAATAACTATTTTCCTTTGCTGTTTCTGTCTGCTACTGGATTGCTATTTTTTTAATTATGCTTCCTCAGCACCACATACTCAAATGTTTCTGGTTGTTTTAAATTCAACCAAATACAACAAATCATCCTCATAAATTTATTGTAGGCTTTGAGTGTGAAATAAGCCGAAGGACTGTACCTCCCTGGGGGGATTTAGGTACTAGGGTTCAAGTTGGGTGGAGGAGGAAAGTAGAGGACAGGGCTACTTGGAGTAATGAGAAGCACATGGCACAGTCAGTATTCTTAACAGGAGGTTCCAGGACTCTCGCAGTTCTCCTTGCCCATTTCTTTATCCAAATGGCAGTAAACATTTTAAGTCAAATGAAAGATGGTCTTGCCTTTCACCTTTGGACTAAGAATTTAGAGAGAAAAGTTTGCCTCCCACTGGGCCATCAGCTGYCTTTGTGCCCCTGGCAAGTTAATACAGATTCTGCCTCAGCCTCTATCTGTAAAACAGAGATAATCCTTTCTATAAGGAAGAATTTCAACTGGGATTTGTTGGCTTATGGATACCAGAATATAATAAAACTATTAGCCGGAAATAAGAACATCAGCATCTTATCTCCTTAAGRGGAAGGATCTTCTATCAGCACTGGTACAAGCAGAGATATCCTTAAGTTAGAAAGCACTTAAAGATAGACATTTAATCTTTTTTTTTGTTGCTTGTTTTTCCAACCATTTCTAAAGTTAGACTTTTCATAGGGACTGCAAAACCTAGAATCATACCTTCCAGAAAACAGGATTAGGAGAGAGTCATGGATGATGTCTACCTTGACTTCAACCAGGCTTTTGACACTATCTCCTGTAACATCCTCATGAGAAAGCTGAGGAAGTGTGGGTTAGATGAGTGGACAATGAGGTGGATTGAGAACTGACTGGATGGTAGAGCTCAGAGGGTGGTGATAAACGGGGSMAAGTCCAGTTGGAGGCCTGTGGCCAGTGGTGTCCCCCAGGGGWCAGTRCTGGGCCCRGTGCTATTCAAGCTATTCATCAATGGCTTGGACCAGGGCACAGAGGGCACCCTGAGCAAGTTTGCAGATGAYACCAAGCTGAGTGGAGTGRCCRACACTCTGGAGGGCTGTGCTGCCATTCAGAGGGACCTGGACAGGCTGGAGAGTTGGGCAGAGAGGAACCTCATGAGGTTCAATAAGGACAAGTGCAGGGTCTGACACCTGGGGAGGAATAACCCCAGGCACCAGTACAGATTAGGKGTTGACCTGCTGGAAAGGAGCTCCACRGAGAGGGACCTGGGAGTCCTGGTTGACACCAAGTTAACCATGAGTSAGCAGTGTGCCCTCGTGGCCAAGAAGGCCAATGGGATCCTGGCCTGCACCAGAAGGAGTGTTGCCAGAAGGTGATCCTGCCCCTCTCCTCAGCTCTGGTGAGGCCGCACCTGRAGTATCATGTGGAGAGGGTCCAGCATAGAGCAACAGAGATGATAAAGGGACTGGAGCATTCAAAGGCTGAGGGAGCTGGGCCTGTTCAGCCTGGAGAAGAGGAGGCTGAGGGGGGACCTGATCAGTGTCTATAAATACCTCAAGGGAGGCAGTGAGGAGGAGGGRGSCGGCCTCTTTTCAGTGGTGGCCAGCGATAGGACTAGAGGAAACGGTCACAAGCTGAGGCACCAAAAGTTCCACAGGAACTTGAGAAAACACTTTTTGACAGTGAGGGTGACAGAGCCCTGGAACAGGCTGCCCAGAGGGTTTGTGGAGATCTCCTTCTCTGGAGATCTTTAAAACCCGCTTGGACGCAGCCCTGTGCCACGTGCTCTAGGTGACCCTGMGTGAGCAGAAGGGTTGAACTAGATGACCTCTGAGGTCCCTTCCAACCTTMRGCATTCTATGATTCTATGATTCTATGATCTATTGCATGAGGTAAGACTAAGCAAGCTGGGCTTCTTAAACCTGAAGAAGACTGAGAGGAGATCTGATCAATATGGATAAGTACCTRAGTGGAGAATGTAAAGAGGATGGGGCTAGCCTCTTCTTGGTGGTGGCCAGTGACAGAACAAGAAGTAATGGGTATAAATTTAAATACAGGAAGTTCCATCTCCATGTTAGGAACAACTTCTTTCCTGTGAGGGTGATGGAGCCCTGGAACAGGCTGCCCAGGGAGATTGTGGAGTCTCCTTCTCTGGAGATGTTCAAAACCCTGCTGTACCCCATGCTTTAGGTGTTTMTTCTGGAGCAGGGACATTGGACTAGATAATCTCTGGAGATCCTTTCCAAGCTCAACCATTTTGTGATTCTGTGTGATCCTGTGATTGTTATGTTATTGCAGTATACTATATTACTTGAAGATCCATGCCATATATCATGAAGAGGAAAGGTTATTTCCCTAAGAATAATTAGAAAGACATAAAGGAAATGATAATGAATACTACAAGCTTTCCTTTTCAAGGATCTAACTTGTTCTTCTGATACCTTAAATTAAAGCAAAGTGTTCCCACAACTTGTATCAGGAGGTTCAAAAAAATACAGCGTCTTGCCTTTATTTGAGCTGCAACATCACTCCACATTACAGTAAGTTAAGGAAAATATAGCAATTTTTGTTCATCATTTATTTTTTTYTCTATGATTGTTCTTCAATATATTATGTAAAAATATCATCATAAAAATATCAAAATTAGCTYTTACAGTTAAAAGCTGTGTTTAATATTTACATTATTTATGATATTTAGTAGAGAAGACCTCTGTATTCCACTGACATTTTCCGTGCCAAAATGCTTTTGACTAGACCCAGGCTATTTATTATTACTACTTATGTTTAGTTGATTTGCAGTTCACATCATCACACAGCCTCATGGATTCTTCAGGCAATGAAAACCAAGGCACAAATGAGGTACATTTTAACCAAGCAAATCAAAAAACAAGCAAGCAAAAACAATTCCCATTTTTTGAAGTAATCTTCACAGCCAGGTTGTCAGCATACACAGTGTGAAGTATTAGACACTATCCTCAGCTCAAGCTGTTTGGTGCTTTGCAGATAGGAAAAGTAATT